TAGAATGTGGTGCCCCTTTCAGATGAAATGAAGTTTTGGATTTGCAAACTGAAAATCTGTAAACTGTCCAGGTAATTAAAGAATATTCTAATTCAAAATCATTTGACTGGCAAATGCTTCTACTTTTAGGACTCTATAAAACCTACATTGACCTTGAATTAATAAAGCAAAGAAGTGTGATGTAGTGGAAAGGGCTTTAAAGAAAGTAGGGTTCATAACCCCATCCTGAAGTTACTATAAGAGTTTAGTTAATCTCCTATTCTTTTAGGCTATTTATCATCTGTTATGTGGGGGATATTAATAAATAAACGTGGCAAGTACTACCACAAAATATATCTCTACCTCCAAAATACATCTTGATACTGTCCACTTCTTTTCATCTTTAATACTCCTAATTCAGGAGAAACTCATCTCTCAGCTAAATCACCACCAATAGCCTCCTAATGATCTTTCCGTTTCTGCTTTTGCCTCCAACTCAGTAGACATAAGAATCTTTCTTATCCCAGGGCCTTTGCACATGCTACCCCACTCTTTTTGCTATTTCCTATCTGGACAGCTCTATTTCTTCCTTTGATTAACAATTAAATCCTTTCTTAAAGCAGTCTTTCTTGATTTTCCTATCTGTTGTTGTTTCCTCTTATTACTTGTTACTTCTGCTCATTTGCTTCCTTCATGGTGTGCCCATCCTAATTTGTCATTTGTTTTTGTTTGTCTGTTTACTTCCTTGTTTTCTGTACTAGAATGTGAGTTTCACAAGGGCAGAGACTAGCTTATTCTTGTTCAGCCTTGTCTCTACCAAGCACAGTGCCTGCCACATTGCAGGTGTTCAAGAAATATACGTGCAATGATATAAGGGGCTGTTGTGAAGAGTAAGTGAGATAATTAAGTGCATAATTAAGTACCTAGGTGGCGCTCAGTAAATATTGGTATTCCCTCCCTTTTCTTTACTAGTGCTGTCCAATCAATCTCCACCTTTTCTAACCTATACATTTCCCTGCTGAAGTTACACTAGCATGTCTCCCCATCACCTATGAATGTCCTAGAACTCTAACTGAATGCAAATGATACTGAAGTACAGAGAACAGAAAAGGTTACTCTTGGCTTTGATACATTTGTCTTTAAATACATCTGTGTTTTTGTGAATTATGCACTTACATCCTTACATGACCTTTTCTATACCAAATTTGGAGATTAGTAATCAGCTAGCAAACATTTATTTCTTACTATCTCTTCCTATAGGTGCTACAGTATCTCTAAATTTGTCTTGATCAATGGTAAGGCAAAATTATTTGAATCTTTTGTTGCCATTTTCTCTTATTTAAAAGAAAATATAAACATGCATAAACTACTGATTAAAAAGTCAGGGTAAGAATACAATTAAGACAAAGGTGAAAAAAGGACAAAGGTGAAAATAATTAAACATAATGGTTAACATTTAGATTTTATTGGACACATTGAAATTAAAATGATTAATACTGCATTTTAAAAGGAAAAGAATAAATTTAAAGAACAACATGAAATGCTAGAATTTATTTTCAGATATTATGTCTGAAAGGTGAGGCATAATTATGAAATTTACATCAGTTTAGCTCTGTGTGGAACAGAATCTCACTCTAAAATACACTTCTTGCCTGTTTGGCTTTAGTTTATGTTTTTAGTCTGGTTTTGTCTGAAAGTAGTAGTTTGCTAATGGAGTGTGCTCCTTTTTCTCCCTGAAAGATGGACGAACCCACTCCCTCAGTTTACTTATGAGGAATTTATGACTCAGTAAGGTGAAGGAATTAGTCCTACAGGCCTGTCTTAATTCTTCTTGATCAGTTGCCTGAATTACTTTAGAGTTGAGTTCTGCAGGTAGAGAGACCAGTATTTATTTAAAAGAAACTCCTCATAGTTCTGGACTAATATTCATTTATAAATGGTGTCCATGCACAGCAAAGGAAACCATAAACAAGACCAAAAGACAACCCTCAGAATGGGAGAAAATATTTGCAAATGAAGCAAGTGACAAAAGATTAATCTCCAAAATTTACAAGCAGCTCATGCAGCTCAATATTAAAAAAACAAACAGCCCAATCCAAAAATGGGCAGAAGATCTAAATAGACATTTCTCCAAAGAAGATATACAGATGGCCAACAAACACATGAAAGAATACTCAACATCACTAATCATTAGAGAAATGCAAATCAAAACTACAATGAGATATCATCTCACACCGGTCAGAATGGCCATCATCAAAAAATCTAGAAACAATAAATGTTGGAGAGGGTGTGGAGAAAAGGGAACCCTCTTGCACTGCTGGTGGGAATGTGAATTGGTACAGCCACTATTGAGAACAGTATGGAGGTTCCTTAAAAACTATAAATAGAACTACCATATGACCCAGCAATCACACTACTGGGCATATACCCTGAGAAAACCATAATTCAAAAAGAGTCATGTACCAAAATGTTCATTGCAGCTCTATTTACAATAGCCAGGAGATGGAAGCAACCTAAGTGTCCATCATTGGATGAATGGATAAAGAAGATGTGGCACATATATACAGTGGAATATTACTCAGCCATAAAAATAAACGAAATTGAGTTATTTGTAGTGAGGTGGTTGGACCTAGAGTCTGTCATACAGAGTGAAGTAAGTCAGAAAGAGAAAGACAAATACCATATGCTAACACATATATATGGAATCTAAGAGAAAAAAACAAAAATGTCATGAAGAACCTAGGGGTAAGATGGGAATAAAGACACAGATCTACTAGAGAATGGACTTGAAGATATGGGGAGGGGGAAGGGTAATCTGGGACAAAGTAAGAGAGTGGCATGGACATGTGTACACTACCAAACATAAAATAGCTAGCTAGTGGGAAGAAGCTGCATAGCACAGGGAGATCAGCTCGGTGCTTCGTGACCACCTAGAGGGGTGGGATAGGGAGGGTGGGAGGGAGGGAGACACAAGAGGAAAGAGATATGGGAATATATGTATATGTTTAACTGATTCACTTTGTTATAAAGCAGAAACTAACACACCATTGTAAAGCAATTATACTCCAATAAAGATGTAAAAAAAAAAAATGGTGTCCATTTTGGAGTGGGAAATATTTACCAGTGTACAACCAACTCTTCTAGATGCACAAAACGAAAGACCCTCAAGGTATCTTCTTCACTTGTTTTCTTCTTGGTTGATCGCTTCATAGGCAATAGGATGTTTACTTCCATCTGTTCTCCTTTAAGATTGATGAAGGTCAACCTGTGGGGACCACACCTTGTGTTTCTAAAACAATTCTTCTTCAATGAATCAGGTCTAGAAGAATGTTTGTGACTTTCCTACAAACCTGCTGTGCTCCCTAACTTTTGCCAGATTCTGCGGGAATCTGCCTCTTGACTGTGATTCATTCACTCTCTAGATTTGGCTTGTCCTGCAGTCACCAAAATTGGCCATGTTCTTAATATTACTCTGGATATGCAGAATGGGTTTTGGAATTATGCCCATATTTCCTAGCATTTGATCCCCAAAAAGCCTATTTTTCCTTCACTGAAATTACCATCCTCATTGCAGTAGCCTCATTTCAAGTTCTCAATGGATTTGTGAACTGCTAGAATTTATTATCAGGTATTGTGTCTAAAAGGTACAGAAATCTATACTGAACAGAGCTGCTCTGGAGTACACAGAGCTTCACTTATCTGTGCCATGTGTGTCTCTTAACATATGACAACCTGACCAAAATGTGAGCAGCCCCGACTGGAATGCATCAGTGACCACACAACTCTTAGCAAGCTAAATCTCAGTACAAATGTCCTTGACATTTTTCTCTTTTCAGTTAATGATGCATATCACTGCTTTCCAAACTCTTTCACAAAGCTTACAAAATCCATCCTGACCTTTACCATTTGTCTAACTTTACCATCCCTCCTTCCCTTAAAGTGTACTCTTCTGAACTACTTTTCAATCCTTGACTCCAATTTTAAACATGTCATTCCTTTTGTTCGGACTGTTCTTCCGTTCCCACTCAGTATCTCAAGTATACTCTGGTGTTGTGGGACACCTGAAGAGGAGGTCCTCCATCTCTCTGGACAGTTTAGAGATGTGGGGTTAATTTGATGTTGCTTGACTATTCATTTCATTAAACATCAGAAAGCGATTTAGGGCTTAGGGAGAAAATGGAACTGTATTTCACACATAGAAAATGATGAAATACTAAACTTCTTAAGGGAAAATATCTTAACTCTAGGGACTTAAACTGTTCTAAGCGTTTTGCACAGAAACAAACATTTTGTGTCTTTATACCTGTAGGCATGTCCATGCGTGTACATGTGTTTATGTGTGTGTGTGCGTGTGTGTGACTCCCTCCCCATCACTAAAAACTTTTCTCTCAAACCCTTTACTCCACACATGAAGAGACATGTGGAGTTCTGTGGATAAGGTATAAATTATGTCTGAATCTATTCCAATATTTATTTAACTCTAAGAGCGTATTCTAATACTGGCAGAGCCTTTGAGAAACACGCTGTAATTCATCTTTTTTTTTTTTTTTTCTTTACGATAGCTACAGATAGAGAAAACATTTCAGCAGGAGAACCATCCACAACAAGAGCAGAATTCTCAGGAGTAGCTCAGCTCCCATCTGGGCTCTGGTTCTTCCTTTAATTCACACCTGACCTCTTTCTAGTTAGCAGCATTTAAAGATGAGGTTAAATTGTAGCAAAGGATGCAGAGAGTTGTAATACCCCCACCGAAGATACTTTCTGATTAGTAATCTTAAATAGATTAGTACTGGCAGAGGAGACACCGCTGCAGTTGCCGCCACCTCCGGGATTTCTGGCTCTTTTCTCTTCGCCTTAAATTCGTGTGTCTTTTATGAATAATCAAAAGCAGCAAAGGCCAACGCTATCAGGCCAGCATTTTAAAACCAGAAAAAGAGATGAAAAAGAAAGGTTTGACCCTACTCAGTTTCAAGACTGCATTATTCAAGGCTTAACTGAAACTGGTACTGATTTGGAAGCAGTAGCAAAGTTTCCTGATGCTTCTGGAGCAAAACTTGATTACCGCTGATATGCAGAAACACTCTTTGACATTCTGGTGGCCGGTGGAATGCTGGCCCCAGGTGGTACACTGGCAGATGACATGATGCGTACAGATGTCTGTGTGTTTGCAGCACAAGAAGACCTAGAGACCATGCAATCATTTGCTCAGGTTTTTAACAAGTTAATCAGGCACTACAAATACCTGGAGAAGGGTTTTGAAGATGAAGTTAAAAAGCTGCTGCTGTTCTTAAAGGGTTTTTCAGAGTCGGAGAGGAACAAGCTGGCTATGTTGACTGGTGTTCTTCTGGCTAATGGAACACTTAACGCATCCATTCTTAATAGCCTTTATAATGAGAATTTGGTTAAAGAAGGGGTTTCAGCAGCTTTTGCTGTAAAGCTCTTTAAATCATGGGTAAATGAAAAAGATATCAATGCAGTAGCTTCAAGTCTTTGGAAAGTGAGCATGGATAACAGACTGATGGAACTGTTTCCTGCCAATAAACAAAGTGTTGAACGCTTCACAAAGTATTTTACTGAGGCAGGCTTGAAAGAGTTTTCACAGTATGTTCGGAATCAGCAAACCATAGGAACTCGTAAGGAACTCCAGAAAGAACTTCAAGAACAGATGTCCCGTGGTGATCCATTTAAGGATATAATTTTGTATGTCAAGGAGGAGATAAAAAAAAACATCCCAGAACCAGTTGTCATCGGAATAGTATGGTCCAGTGCAATGAGCACTGTGGAATGGAACAAAAAAGAGGAGCTTGTAGCAGAGCAAACCATCGAGCACTTGAAGCAATACAGCCCTCTACTTGCTGCCTTTACAACTCAAGGTCAGTCTGAGATGACTCTGTTACTGAAGATTCAGGAGTATTGCTATGACAACATTCATTTCATGAAAGCCTTCCAGAAAATAGTGGTGCTTTTTTATAAAGCTGAAGTTCTGAGTGAAGAACCCATTCTGAAGTGGTATAAAGATACACATGTTGCCAAGGGGAAAAGTGTCTTCCTTGAGCAGATGAAAAATTTTGTAGAGTGGCTCAAAAATGCTGAAGAAGAATCTGAGTCTGAAGCTGAAGAAGGTGACTGAATTTGAAACTACACCCTCAGTAAAGCAAACAGGAATTGTAGATAAAATGTCATGTCTCATGTGTCCTGGATCTTACATCTTCCTACCTCCCTATATCAAGCATGATATAAGGGCTTTCATGGCAAATTTTATTTTAACTGTTTCTATGGTTACTGGAAATGTTGGATTTAGTTTCTAAAACCATGTTTTAAGTAGCTACAGGAGCTATAGATTTGAATCTAATGTTGCATTAGTCTTTTCAGTTATCTTCTACCTCCTGTATTTTCTACTGTAATAATGTAATTTAAGGCCTTCCACAATGAACAGTTCACTTTTTCCCTGGGTTTTCTATATAAACAGTTTTCAAGATATGATTTGGTTAAAAATAATTTGTTATAAAAATTCTGTTTGCAAATTAAACTGTAAAAGTATCCAGAGTCTCAGAAGGCAGTGATTTGTGTGATAATTTGGTATGCCCAAAGCCCTGCTCATTAAAGAAAATCTCATATACAATAATTAGATTCATTAACATGAATCTCGAGTATTTGGACCACTGCTTGCATGTCGATATTTTCTTGCATTTTCAACCCCAGAGGTACTTGAGCTCAATTGTTTGCTCTCTGATTTTCATTCCTTAAAATGAAGCCATGGAGAACAAACTTGAAAGTGAGGTGTTTGGGAAATTGTATGTGGCGGTGGTGGGAAGAAAAAAGTTGAGCTTTTACCCAATGAGAAACCTCTGCATTCAGTTTGCTTCTTTCTAGACAAAACAAATGAATATTCTTTTCATACCGCCATTTTCAAACATACCTTGGAAAAACCTTGTCATTTAAAGTATTTTACAGTTGTCATACACTTAGACTGGTAAGAAAGGACTCATAAAACAGTATAAGTAAAGCAAATGACTGTACTAAACCCAGAAAATTGTTGAAAGAAAAGTGGTTAGCATGTTCTAATTGGGATTCTAAATATAACTCATATTTCCTGTTGGCTTAGAGTATTTGTTGCAAAGAATGAAGTGCAGTGATAATGATTATCCTACTTGGTCATACTGGGCCAGCTTCATTTTCTTCACAGATTCATATATGACTCGAGCATCTGCCTGTTAATTTACCCCAGTTGCCAATATTTTAAATTGCCATGAGCCAAATCTCTCTTCTGTACAGTTGATCCATTTATTTTAATGGCTGCCTTTTAATTTCCATCTTAATTTTCTTGCTGCTACCCAGCTTTATAGGTAGTCATTAGAAAATAAAATGTGGCCACACTTTTTGGTGGAAAGATTTCATGTTAAAAGTGAACATTTTGAAAGCTTTTTTGATTGGTGAAAGAAATGAGCTTGGAATAATGCTGCCAGAGACCGAGTGGGAATTGCCCCTTTCAGAGGTGCCATTCTTAGGAGCTAAAAATTAGGCATTTAAAAGTTTATCTTGAGGGAATAACATGTAATATAGTTTGAAATAAAGGTATAATAACCTTATGAGGAAGAGCATTATAACTGATACCGTTGTGAAGGGGGTGAAATTGTTAAATGAATGACTTTGATAAAACTTTCATGCACAGACAAAATGTATTCACTAGGTTTCTACATAGTGATCTGCTTTTACTTTGTAATTTGTAGTCCTTAAAATACTTTTTTTAAAAAATAAAGTCCATCCTTACACTTAAAAAAATAATAAAATAGATTAGTACTAATATATTTGTGTGGATATTAAACATGAGCTGGCACCTCACCCACACTGCTTCTTCATTGGCTTTCCCTGGTCACCCTGTTTCCATCTTTGAGGTACAGAGACTGAGGACAAAGGTCTCTGCAGGAAAGGTCTCTGCAGGAAATGTGTTTACTTTGTGACAAACATACAAGACATTTTTACTCAAGACTTGAGAATTGAACCTGATGTGCATGTCTCAGATTGATAAGAAAATGGAGAGAAAACTTAGATTTTATAACACATCTGTAGTTGCAATATCATCCTGAAAATGCAGTGACTATAACAAAGATTTTACAAATCCCATTCAAAGGATCCCAATTTGACCAAGATCAGAACATTCACCTCAATTTTCAGGCACTTGGACCAGGAACTCATAATCTTGATTAAGCCAAGCAGGTGGATCGACTTGAGAAATTATTTACAATTCAAGTTAAATGCAGCTGATCATTTTTTTTCTCAGTTCATGCAAGGCCCATTTCAGAAAAGCATGCTTATCTGTTTCTATATAATTAAAAAATATCTTGTTCAAGAAATGAAGTATATAAAAGAATAATCAGACACACTTGCTAAACTAATTGCACGTGGAACTGTGCCGGTCTCCAGTCTCTGTGATTAGATTGTGTCCCTCCACTTTCTTTAAATGTTACAAAAACTAGTGTAAATTAGTATGCAGCTATTTTCAGATTAATGGCAACATGTAAAGCTCAAAGGTTCATGTTCTGTTTTGCAGGGAGTGTTGGTTTTGTATGATAGCATTTACTTGTTCCCCCCAGCAGTGAGGGGTCATCAGGCTCTTTCTCAGGCATTACAGGAAAACTCTACTGTTCCATTATACTCACTACATCTTTAGCCCCAATGAAACCCATGATTGTGTTCTCTGGTACTTAGATTATGTTTTGATTACTATGGACATTAAAAAAAAATAATTTGGTTCTCTTAGGATTCCCAAGCACAAACAATCATGCATCCTAACAAGACAAACCACAGCATGTAAAAGTATAAATTTTTAGAACCCTTATACACAGATAATTAAACAAAAGTGTATGGAGTGTGACTGTTTCTAAATGATATCATGCTGCTTATTTGAGGTGCAAGTACTCAACACTAATAAAGCCATGTGTGATCCCGTCAGCTTTGGTAAGTCCCAGCAATGCAAACTGAAGCTCGATAATCCCAGTCTACAGCAGTGTGAGAACCTGAGTTTGTGTGTGGTCTGATGTAAAAGTTAACTTGTGTTAATTTTCTAGACATATGGAGCTCTCCTTTACTTTTGGAAGCTGAGAGAAAGTAAGTTTGTTGAGCACCTGCTTTAGCCTAAACATGGTGCTAGATATATTCACATATGATACCATGTTTAATTCTAACAATCACCCTAACTGTACAAATTCGTATCCCTATTTTACCAGTGAGAACTAAGTCACTCAGCAGATAACTGACTTCTCAAGAACATGCCGCTGAGGCTAAGATTTAAACCCAGGTCTGAGCCCCTCGAGTTTATTCCTGTTCTAATTTATCATGCTACTTCACGTCACCAAAAACCTTCTTACATAGTTATACCTGGAATGATATAAACCTGCCCAAGGACGTACAGGACCAAATAAACAAGGGAAAGTAAAGTGTAGCAGTACGTGAAACATAAGAGCTGTGACCAGGCACACATGATTCCTGGAGCAAAACTAGTCAGGACCCCAGCCAAACGATATGGGGGTCAGATTTGGGCCACAGTCACATTGCAGACAGGAATGTCAAACAGGAAAACTACAGCAGAAGTCCAGGTATGCAGACTGTGCAAGCAGGGTGGGCTGTTGGGGAGAGCTCATGAACAGTCAGGGCCTTCCAGACATACCAGCTTTATAGCAACAGGCTAGTTTCAGAACCCACAGACTGACTGTGGATCTATGCCTGCTATTGTATGATGTTTTGTGTGGATTATCTTAATTAAACCTCACCACAACCATGAAGAAGAAAAATTATTTGCCACAGTTTACCCTGGCCAGTTGAGTAGAGGTAAAGAGCATGGACTCTGGAACCGAACTGCCTGGGTCTGATTTCTGGCTCTTAACTGGCCTGTACTCTCTAGCTGGGGAAACTTACTTTTTCTGTTACCTAGTTTCTTCATTTGTAAACTAGGACTGATAACGGTGCTCACCTTTTTGGGTTAAGAGTCTAAAAAGCCTCAAATAGTGCCGGGCTCAGTATAATTGCTAGACAAGTGTTTGGTAAATAAAGGAGGGGACTGAGTAACTTGCATAAATTCATAAAAGTAATTTGTGGTGGAGCAGCGACTCAAGTCCAGATGGCATGAGCCCAGAGCCCAGGTCATAGTCCATGGTATCAAAGTATGGGTTCTGATGGGTACACTCAGACAGCGGTGTCTGCTCATGCGAATGTGGGACCTCAGCAACTTCACCCGTGAGGGGTCTAGGGAAAGCAGATGCCAGCACGATCCTAAGATTACTTCTCATTTCTCTCTCATCCCATATTGTCTACCATCTCTATGGAAATCATGACATATCTGAAAGTCATTTCAAAATCTCCTTTACTTAAGATGCTTTCTGGTGTTGAATGTACACTTGAGGTATTTAACTTTGCCTTACTGAATCCATCTCATCTAAATTCAACAATATTTAGTACTCTCTACCTTCTGAGTCCACAATGGTGGACTCTGGAGAGAGGTTTCATGGCAAAATATAAAGAATCTTACTGAGTCTGTGTACACCAATAATTCCTTCTCCACGATAAGAAACATGCCAGACGTTTACATCATGCAATGAGATTTTCAAAGGGCCGTTAGGTGTTTTTTTTCATGCACTTCTATGAATCATGTATTTTAAAGATAAATATAGCTTTTTCTGTGAGGAAGGAATTGCTGTTTTGTGAATATTTTCTTGTTAATTTGACATGAAGCAAACAATAGCAATACATAGCTACATTTGTACAGTCTCAGCACTACATGAGAATGTAAACTTTTGGTAAAAAAACATTCGCACCTATGCCAAATCAAGTCAGATTAGGTTGTATAAGATCTATTGTCCTATGACTCCAAGTCCTTGGACAACATCCCAATTTACTCTATTGGAGTCCTTTTCTCTGGATTTCATATGCATAGACACACACCTGGTAGGCAGAGACACAGTCTGAATTTGAGAGCAAGCATTTTGTAATAAAGACCATGTCCCACAGCTCTAAGTGATAGCAAAATCTCTCATGTGTCACTTTTCACAAAACTGCAAAGCTATAAGGACAACATTAAGTGAAGGGTCTGCAGTAGGGTGTTGGGGTACATTTTCTTGGACCAGATTTTGTGTCTCCCTGTTGTCAGTTTCTCTGAGTTAGAAGGGGCCATGTTTAGTTTGTTTACCAGCTCAGAAAATATAAGAATTACAGAGAGGACCTTCAAGATGGCGGAGGAGTAAAACGTGGAGATCACCTTCCTCCCCACAGATACACCAGAAATACATCTACACGTGGAACAACTCCTACAGAACACCTACTGAATGCTGGCAGAAGACCTCAGACCTCCCAAAAGACAAGAAACTCCCCACGTACCTGGGTAGGGAAAAAGAAAAAAGGAAACACAGGGACAAAAGAATAGGGACGGGACCTGCACCAGTGGGAGGGAGCTGTGAAGGAGGAAAAGTTTCCACACATTAGGAAGCCCCTTCGCAGGTGGAGACGAGGGGTGGCGAGAGGGAAGCTTCAGAGCCATGGAGGAGAGCACAGCAACAGGGGTG